GAGGAACATGCAGCTCAGAACAAGGTCATGTAGAGTAACAGTGAGGTTTAGAATTGAGGGCCACGTTCTCAATCGAAAAATGCCAACATCATTTCACGCTAAAACAAACCAACGTACCTCGCAGTACCACTGATACGGCTTGCACAGTAGCACCTATCTTCGTCTCATAGCCGAAGCAATTCACAATTTGCTGCAAAATGCCTAAATTGTCAGCCCTGAGGGGAGCACACTGCTGACTGAAACAAGGTGGCATAGGCATGCAGCTGTGAAAAAGGGAAGCTTTTACAACTTCCCAGAAGCTCAACCAAACACCCAACCCAAGACTTCACAAGTGGAACTGCAAATCTCAACACAGCGGGGGTCCTCTCAAAAAGAGGCAGCCAGGAACAAGGCGATCACAGAGGTTTCATCTATGAGGGTTATATAAGTCGTGTTTTTAATGACCTCCCACACGCAATTTTTAACCCACCCCACAGCAACAGGATTGTGATAGCCCAGGTCTTGATGTTGGGTGATTGGGGTTTATCAAGATCCTCTTTATAATATTCATATTATTATTACTAATAATGATATTAATACTAATATTAGTATTAATATTAATATGAATAGTAATATTGATACTGTTATTAATAAAACATCCTGGTGTTGAAGCATAGGTCCCATACCTGCTTCAAGGTTACAAGGCGAATGCCGCGGCCTTGTAGGCCCTTGGAGGGCTTGACGATCACCTGAGAAACGCAGTTTAGGTCAAGGGTTTCCTGCAGACCTTGATGACCACACGAGAACTAGATTGTGATCTGCAATGGTTAAGCACCTCCCTGCCAAACGCAGAAAACATCGAGTAGTCCATACTCCATGGGTTCAGTTTGATGTCAGATCGTGATATTCTATCCTCACCCTCATTATGAAGCACTTCCATGCCAATCTAGGACTGGATTGTTGTCATAGTAGTCCATATTCTATGGCGTGGCATGTTTGATAATAGGGGACTGTTCTTCGTGCATTCTCAGAACCAGACCGTGATATTCAATGCCTCCCCTTGACAATTGTGCAATAACTCCCTCTCTCTCTAATACTAAGGCGTCCTTATAGCAGCCCGAACTTCATTTGGGCTTTTATCAGATCAGGGAATGATCTTAGACGAAGCAGCTCATTTTGCAGCCGTCAGTTTGTAGGGTGGTTGTCAAAATGTTGGTCCGTTTTTGGGTCCCTATCATAATACGGCACCTAATATTTAGGGCACCCAAAAAGGGGCCATAATGGACCATAATTTCGACAACCACCCTGTAAGGTCCTTCAATCTGCAGCTGAATGAGTGACAAGTGCCCAGTTTCTGGGATACGGCCTGCGCATGGCTAGCATTCCAAGGCTTCTGGACGGCAGTCTGCAAGGCTTCAGGGTATTTAGGGCTTCTAGTTATATAGGGGTTCAGGAATGGTGGGATAATAGGTATATATGAGAATCCCTTATAATCCGAGGACTTGTTTAATTTGGGGGGGACCCCCCACCGGCAGAATACGAAAAGCCGCCTAATTGTAGCTAGTCTTTGGACACTAATTCTGCCAAAGCTAACCTTTAAATGTGGTCCCTTTTATTGAACTAATCCTCGGATTCCTGGCTATTACTGGGTGGGGGATCCACCTAAGTTTGGGGTGAGGACAACGGAGTCCATATGAACCTGCTGGAGTGCATATGAACCTGCTGATTGGTCACTGACATCAACAAACGTGGGAAGTGCATCAGCTCTTCAAGTTGCAATAGCTCTATCTAGCTTCTAGTTCCCCAACGCGATACAGTGAGAAAACATGACGGAATATTCCTCATTGGGCATTAACATGCCATGCTAGGAAAAACAGCTGTATTCGACATTGATCAAGATTTCCGAGCTGTGTGTGGCTCGGACGGAAAATAAGAAATAACAAGCTTCCCCTAGATTAAATGGTGGAACTATTTTGAGACTACGTATCAATAGGAGTGTGCGGGGATCTTCTTGTTAAAGGGAGGTGATTACTTGCAAAGAGGCAAGTCACGACTCTCTCATTCGCAATGGCGAAGTCGAGGTCCTCTGTGCGTGCATGGTGGGACCCAGCAAACATTCCATGTTCCGGGCAATTCCTCCGGCCCTAATCACTGTATATAACCCCAGTTTCCATTTCATTGTTCATTTTCTCTTCCATGTGATTCTCCGTGATCGGGCCCTACACCCTCTGTATACCACTACATAAACCATGTGGCTTGCCTCCCTAGACCCGAAACGCTAAAATTTAAGTATTAAGCCCTAAACCTTAAACCCTAATCTCAAAACCCTAAACGCCAATACCTAAACCCTAACCCCTAAGCACCCTATACCCTGTGTAGGCCCTAATCCCTAATCCCTAAGCAGGAAGTCCTGGGGGCTCCAAGATCGAGGCCAGAATGATACAGAACTCGCCTGGAAGCAACGCGTCTTACAGTGCCCTATGAGGTACGGGGGGCTAGATAACATGGGCACATAGGGTTGAGGGTTTAGGGTTTCGAGGGAACACGGGAATGTATTATAGGGTTGTGGGTCTATGGTTTAGGGTTAGGAGGGAATGAGGGAATGTACAATAGGAATAGATTATGAAGTTTAGGGTTTAGGGTTGTTAGTCGGTAATAAGGTTAGCAAGTTACAAGGATCATGTAGGAATTTGGTAAGGATTATATTCCCTTGTTCCCTATCAACCACCAGTAAGATGATCCGGGATTTCGGGTTTAGGCATGCGTGTGGCCTGAGGGCCCAAAGAGCAAAACATATAATACGCATGCATATATACATATATACATACACATATGTATGCTCAACCCCCCCTCCCCCAGTTGGATTCTTGGAATGGAATGTTGGATTCTTGAAGAGTTGGATTGTTGGATTGCTAGATTGTTGGGTAGGTTCCAGAAAGTTGTATTGTTGGATTGTTCGAATGTTGGATAGGGTCTACGCTGTCTGAAATATCAGGCTGTTGGATATTGCAGTACTTAGTAAGCTTCATCTTCGGAAACTTAGAACCTCGTAGCATTTCAGCATCTTGTGCCCCCTCCTACCCAGCAACCACTGGAAAGATAGATCTAGATGTCTGGGTGAGGCATAAATACACAAAAAGCCGACTACTGGGGAGGTTACAGGCATGTATATGTATATATATATATATACGTGTGTACATATATATATATACATATGTATATATTGTGCCCAACAAAGTTCCTACAGGACCCTCAAGCATCCTGGTGCACTTGTCGATTCGAGCCTGTCATCCTTGCGCAGGACCCCTGCGAAACCTCTCTGTATTGTGCCAAATTTATCGGATGAGCCCAGAAGTGTAGGCATTCTTGTAGATTGCGAGTCCAAGTACCTGAATAGCATTTACACAAGAATGGATTCCTACAAAGCATGCCGGGCTCAAGTTACTTGCTACTTAAGTCGTTAAACTCTCAGGGTGATACAGATTGTGGATTAGGGCTGCTAGAGGTAGCAAAAGAATTTGGTTGGGGAGGGAACCTATGAGTGAGGATTTAGTTGGCTAATTTATACCGTGACGGTAATGTCTCGATTATTTTGCTGAACACTAGCTTCATCCATGGAAAATGGCTTTAATGGATGAGAGATTAGACAGGGCACCCTCTCATGACTGCAATGAAATAATAGCTTCCATTTTGTTTTCCATTATCCCTATATGGCCCCTATATAGCCCCTATATAAGCCCAAGATAAGCCTTATGTTGCAACTACGTATTAAAGCCCTTATATAACCCCGATATTGTCCCTATAAAAGCCCCTATATAACCCCGGAGACTATAGCCCTCTCATAAGTGCAATGCCAAGCCGTCAACTTGGCCTCCAGAACGGCGGACAGCGTGGCTTTCTCACAGGCCTTTCAAGCAAGGCAATATATCTATATATATATATGTATATATATATGTGTGTATTGTATTATATGCTGTGTATTCACTTGTTCTGAGGCACTGTGAACCCTTCTTGTGTTCCTACGGATTCCAGCGCCTGGTATTTTGAGGCATGAAGAGTCTCGAATGCTCTTACCACAAGTCTTCAAGGCACCCCCCAAAAGTACAGTCCATACCAGGATTATATGAACAGGCTCGAGCTTGTTCTGAAAGACGCCAAGCGCAATGTTACAATATCCTTGGCTCTAAGCCCTTAGCCCCAGCACCTCAAGAATCCGCCCAACAGCATCACAGCAATACCTTATCGCAGTTCCTGAATGAAAGCCAGATGTGGCAAAATTCGAAAAGAGTGGTCCCCATCCTCTACCCAACTAAAAGGTTCCTTATTAAAGGGCGCCCCGAAAGGGATGCCCTGGAAAGCTTAAACTGCCCTAAACCCTGATACTTCAACATATGCCCCCATATACTGAGAGAGAGAGAGAGAGAGAGACAAGGAAGGAAGGAAGGAATGAAGGAAGAGAGAGAGAGACTGGCGGGTGGATTGCTCCACCGGCCATTGAGGCCTCCCCATGGCGTTCTCTCTCTCTCTCTCTCTATCTCCCTCTGTCTAGCTCTCCTGATCAGGAATCCTGACATCCATTTCACTGGGGGTTAAGTCTGCGATGCCTAGGTAGCTAGGCATCTCTCCCTGAGCAATTTGGCAGCTTCCAATGAAAAGGGTGACCCCCACATAGACCCTTATGATCTAGGATTATTGCAACACGTAAGAGGGGCTCCCAAAAAAGACCACCCATGGTTGGAAACACAATTTTTTGTCCTCTTTGCAAGGCGCAGGTTGCAGCGTTCTCGCGGAGCTTGCCGTTGACAATTCCGCTTACTACCACCATTGAGACTACTGTAAAGGCCTTAGAAATGTGAATGCTGCTTTGGCGCATACTCTGCCATAGCTATACGGTAGCAGGGTTATGGAAGGATATTCTTGGCACTTCTTAAGGCTTCTACAGTGCAACATGTTCCTGGTGCGTCTGCACATGTATGCTGATACTTCGGGAACAACTTTGATTGTGGTTACCGTCGTCGACATCAACATTCGTTGGTGCCCTTCATTCCGATTTGAGTCGCCAGCGCCAACAGGCTTCCAAGCCAGATTCCGAAGACTAAGGACAAGGACATCATGGTACCCACAGGCTCTCCTGGGTTATGCATCGCACAAATTCAAAACATAAGGTAGCCAGGTTATTCTCATAGCATCTTGGGTGTATTTGTGAAGAAAGCACCGCACTACGAAGGCAGCACAAAATTCCTGTAGCTGATGAAGCTTCAAACTTTAAAGCCCAATAGAAACTAATTCAGAATGAAGACAATAAGGACCCAGTGTCTTTCATCGGCAGAGACACCACGCTGCTCTGGCCCCAGCATCATGGACAAGGTTGACACATAACCGTTGGAGAATGCGAAGAAGACCATCACGGCAATCTGTACGAAGGCATTTTGTGCCCAGCTGTCCATGCTTTGGCGCTGCATGGCGATGAAAAGGGGGACAAAGAGCACACGCATGGCTGCAAGCGTAGAGACAACACGTCCTTCACTGATACGCACCGCTGACCATTGAGGTGCAAAGCGGCCAACGACATCAAAAATCTGAAACAGGGAGATGAGCAGTGGCACCCGGTTGCCTGGTAAGAGTCGGGATGTGACTCCGGGGAAGACGGTGAAGGTAAATGTGAAAACGGCTGCCACAGTCACTGCTTGTGGCCATGCGTTCTGGGTTAAGATCTCTCGCGAAGACCGCCCACGCGTCAGCATTGGACTGCTGGAAGGCGTGTTCTGTCTCTGGGCCACTGTGCAGGGCTTGAGAGCACCGGTGTCCTGCACAAGCGGGCTTGACGTCATGATGTAGAGAATGGGGATGCCCAGCAACGCGAAGGCTGCAGAAAAGGCAAAGCTGAAGAACAAGCCATACTTTGAAGAGCTGAAGGCAGTTCCAAGCACACTGGAGAAGACTCCCCCCAAGCCCTGACCAAACATCAAGGCTTGTGCAAACCACGGGGAGAGACAACCTGCCAGACCAAAGGCACATGCCTGCCAAATTCCGGATGCGGCGCCGGTAAGTGACACAAAAGCCACAGCCACGGCAAAACCCATCTCCATTGTTTCAGGAGTGGTGTACGTGTGGCACCCTAGGAGGCCCACCAAGGATAGAGCCGTACAAACCGCAGCCACATTCCATCGGGTAGCAAAAGGAATTCGAGACACCACTGTCCGGCTTGTGAGGATGAGCTGCGTGATGTTCACCTTCATTTTTGAAGATAGATCTTGGAGCGAACCACAACTAGAGCGCATCGAGAACGGGAAGCCCTAAACCTTGCAAAACAAAAAACAAGAAGAGATGAAAAGGCGATCCCGAGAAAAGCCAGGCAGGGCATTCTCAAAATAATGTCCCCCCTAAACCCTAAATAGTAGTTTCCATTCTCTTTTTCATGATCCCTATGTAACCCCTATATGACCGGTATATACCCCTATATAACCCCTATAATCCCTGTAGTTTCCATTTTCTTTGCCATTATCCCAATACAAACCCAATGTGACCCCTACATAATCCCTATATAACCCCTATAAATCCCTATAGTTTCCATTTTCTTTTCCATTATCCCAATATAACCCCAATATGACCCTATGTAACCCCGATATAACCCCATATAACCCCTATATAACCCTATATTATGTAACTCCTATATAACCCTATATACCTCCATTTTTGAGAATGGCCAAGTCACAGCTAAGGAGTAGGCCATTGAACACCAAAATGCCCAGCCAGCTCCAGCAAAGCGCTTCCCATGAAAAAGGTTGCAATCAAAGCTGTGAGTAAAGCTCCTTACCCACAGGGTCCCAAGTACCCAATAATTCGGAATCTGGGATTTTTGCAATATTTGCACAGGCTTTCATGTAAGGATTTGCTTATCAGGTACTTGGACCTTTAGGATTGGGTATGGCTTGCGGTTGAAGGTGTGGAGCTGACGTATATACGAGTAGATCGGGATCATCCAAAGGCCGCAGGGGAGTGTGAAGGCATTTCGTGGCAGTGTCTTAATGACCATATAGACCCCCTTAAGTAGATAGAATATGGGGTATACGGGGATCTTATTATGATTACCCAAAGCCATATTCTATCTACTTAAGGGGGATTATAAGTCAGGGAGGGAATGCGTGGTTCCTCTACCCCGCGAAGAAATGTGCCCTGAAAACTATGACCGCATGAATCCTCTCTAGGCTAACTGCTGAAGGAAAAGCAAAGATATGCGCAACACGAGCCCACCTAGGCTCAAAATAATTTGCCAGCCAAGAAGTGTTGCCGCGCCTGTGTCAGGGTGCTTTTGCTGAACGTCATCTGAGCCATAGTCTAAACTCCTAGTATCCCCCTCAATAACCCCTATAGTCTACAGTACCCTTTAAGGAGTGTAGATTATGGCTCATCTTTGAGAAGCAGAGAGGATGCCTGGTAATTTGCCTGACAGTCCTACAAGACGCCTGCTACTCAACTCAATAGGGCCCCCCAGCTCAACCCCCCCCCCTGCCTGTGTAGTAGAAACATGCCTGCAACTTGCGATTCTGGGCCACGCGTGCTGGGTCGATTTCCTCGGTCCTTAGCTGAAGCCATGAGTCATTGAAACCAAGGCAGATTATGATCTTCTTCTTCCACGCCAGACGTGGATATCTGCAGACAGACTAACTTTTGGAGCACACACCAGCCTTGCCGCTTGTTATAAACCCTCTTGCAACATCCATCTAGAATCCTAGAATTCTCAAAGCATCGGAAAATTGGGCAAAATGCGGCCTGGAGTCAAGGGGTCAATACTCCCAATCGACCAGACTTCTGACTCTGCCATAGCTGGCGGGGACTCTCGGTCAGCTATTCCTACACCATGAGCCCATGCCTGCAAGTATATGAGGACTGTGTGGGGAAAAATGCAGGTCACGACTGGGCTTGCATCCATACTCGCGCGATTTTTCACATAGATCCTGCATTGGCAAAGGGTCGAAAGCTGGATTTCCTAAACTCTGACATTGCAGCCGCTGGCCTCGTGCATGCCCGGGATATGGCTGAGCCGGGCACTGTGGCCAAGGTTCAGGAGGCATTTGGAGAGGTCCTGCTGTATTGGGATAATGGTAAATAAAATGGAAACTACTATAGTATAATAGGGTATATATAGAGGTTACATTGGGATAATTGAAAATAAAATGGAAACTACTATAGTATATACGGTGATGATTTCATACTGCCGTTCCCACTGCATGTTTGTCAGGCGCTGACTTTTTATTTGGGTAGGCAACGCGAACCAGAAGATCATCGTGTTTGGGTTGTCATGGCGTTGGTTTCTCACTTTGCATTGAAACTACTAGTAATAGTAATAGACAGAGTAATAATACTAATAGTCGTAGTAATAATAGTGAAAGGGTCAAGGCCGGGTGCGTGCGCTTAATGACCTGATTGGCAATCTTCATAGCTTCCCTCGGCACAATCTGATCCACCTGTCTTGCGCGCAAACATCCTGAACTCTTGCCCTCACACAAATGACCTGCAGACTACGCTATTTATAGCCAGGCGAAAGAGCTACCCTAGACCCTGAACCTTAAACCACTTTGCCCTCGAGCCATCCGGATCCCCACTTTACCCCCAAGGGGTGCTGCTAACCAGGGACGTCGCATTTGAAAGCGCAAAGGTTCAGATCACAAAGCTCAAAGCAAGCAAAGTCCTCCTTTCGCCTGCACAGGAATCGGATTCTTCACTGTGTGCTTCATTTGCTAATGTTTGCCAATCAGGTCCTGGACTCGCTCCAACAGAAGTAATACATAGATCAGTTTTGTTGGGAGGCCTCCAGCAAGCTTAAACAACAAGCCTTCACCGCGTGCAGGTTGTGTAATGTATTTGGAATTCTGCAGGAAGCCGAAAAATGGTACTCTTGTTCCCTCAGCCGTATGTACAGTTCGAGGAAGGTGGTTGACAAGTACGGGAAATGCCTGCGCTGCTTGCTGAACACTGAACGGTAAGCCTTTTATCCGCCAACCCTCTCAGGCGTGAATTTCCAAAGCCGTTACTTGGCTGACAAGCAAAGCAAGAAATCTGAGCCCCAAGTCCCAACAGTCAATTCAATCTGCGGATGCTTGTACTTACTGGTGATTAGGAGGGAATAAGTGTATATAACCCCTATAATATATACAGATATATACATGTATTTATTGTTATTATTTTTTTTATTATTATATACATATTCCTTGATTCCCTACTAACCCCCCAAATAAGTATATAGAAGGTGTCGCTGATATCCAGGCCCTGCAGCTTGCCGACACCTTGGCCTCCTCACCACATCTAGAACCTAAAACAACCTTTCGCTGGCTCCACATACTTCACCACCCAGAAGCTGCGGGAAAGCTTTGGTGTATTTGAAGACCCACATAGTGCAAACAAGGGGATGAAAGTTCAGATTAGTGGCATGGCCCGCCAAATCCCGAAGCAACATGGGATCTTGACATGTCAGGCGCTTGGCAGCGAATGCAGCAGGGGCCCCGGCACAACCCAAACGATATGCCCGGCGCTGCGGGCAATCCTGAAATCACAAGCCCTGAACAGCCAAGAACCAAGGCGAGGTTTGGGGTCTTGGTGATTGGTGATTGAGAACTTTGTGACATGCAAGGGCAGCTGGGCAACGGGGTGTCGTGAAACAGGCCTTCCCCATTTAGCAGTATGGGATTACACAAGCCGTCCATCTTGCAAGCCTACCAGCGGACCAGGGTTATCACGGCCGACAAAGTTAACTCAAGACAGCATTTTGCTACACAGGTTCTACATCACCTACTTGACCTTTTCCTGTAAGTCCCTCTTCAAGACATTGTGATACTATTGAACGTTGCGTGTCTTCCAACGAATCAGCTTGAGCAGGAGGCGTCAGCTTTGCGGAAAACTTCAGTACTTAAACTCGGTTTCAAAGGCAAACGGGCCAAATCATTGCATGATCTGTAATAGTTAAGTACGCGTTAGCTCAGAAAACCAGGATCCTTGTCTCAAGCCTTGGATGAAGTGCATGAAGCATTCTTTCTGCTGGCGAACCTGAAAACAACTGCAACCATGCTTGGGGCACTACTACAATGTCTGCACTGCAGGGCTGCAAAAGTGAGATTTTCCCCAAATCGTTGCACTCTGGGGACCCCAGTGGTATGTAGGCATCACAAGTCACGCTTCCTTGTAAGCATTATATAGGGCTTACTTTGGGGAAACGTTAGCTGAAGCCTTTCACACCTTAAACCACTGCCTACAAAAACAGCTCAACCCTACGCCCTTACACCCCATGGTCCTGAAACCCTGCGTTCCAACATTCCAGTGTGAAACATCGAGTCGCATTTTGTGGACGTATCAAATGCAAGTTATGACTGAGGTGGTGGCCACCTAGATGAAAGGCCCGAGAAGCTATCCATACGCAGGGAGCCTCCCAAAAAAGAGGCAAACTTCTGAACACTCGTCTACCAGAGTCTACCAGTAGATTCGAGCTGCCCAATTGCGTAGACTTCCCCCATAACCCCTCTGCTCCTCCGGCTCTATGAACAACCCAAAAGTCTTAGCTTAGCCCCATACGCCGTAGAAAACCCTAAGCCGAGACACCGCTTAAGTCTCCAATGAATGAGTGGACAAGAATCTCCCAGCCCTGCTGCTTCGAAACCAACTCGAGTGCCTCGCAGCCGCTGAGGGACATGTTGGGTGCCTTAAATTGTTTGAAGGCATAGATCCACGGGAGTTCAAAGGGTATGAGCACTATATAGGCCGATGCACGAAAACTCGTGCAGGTTCTGGAGCAACATGCAAGGAGTGGATGCTGAACTTTACATGTGCGCTGTATGATGGTACTGGGCCGAAGAGGAACTTCCTTTGGGATGCGAAGGTCCAAGGTGAGATGCGAAACCCAATGAGGACGTCTTGCTGCTCAAGCCTAGAGGGCCTAGATCCTGTGCATATACCCTACATCCTGAACTGAACTGCATTGCGGTTCATCAATCGCCTGCAGGCTAAGGCTCGACTGCAAAGACCTGCGTATGGCAATGCAGCCTACAACTTGAAACAGGGATCTATCCCTTTATCCTTGGGCTGACAAGTCAGAGGCCCCAGGAAATACCCTTCTGTGGGGATGTCACCTAGATTCCTAGATGTTTGGAATGTCTGGAAGCTGGAATTGCCAGAATCACTGATACTGTTTTGTGAGTTTTCTGCAGCTGCAATGGGGATATTGTGCAGCGTTCTGTCAGGTTCTTCTTTGCCCATGTCCCCGACGTACTCCGTCTGCCGCCAAGTTTTGCTGATGGCTTGCTGGTTCGAGGGCTAAAGCTTGGCTGGTGAAACAGGGCACGCTCGCGCCCTTTAAAGCTATAGGCTCACAGCAGACCAATAAATCTGAGGAGGACCAGGCAGAGCAGCGTGAAGAGAATGAGGGGGATCACCTTGGACGTGATTGGGTGAGGGAGTATACACACACGATTTGGAGCGATGGATCTTATTCTGCGCAAACCTGCCAACTAACAGCTGCACTCCGGCCAAACGGAATGGCGCAGAAAACTTTCAGGATAAGCACTACTTCTACAGGGCATCGCTGTGCCGTAACTGAGCTCTCGGGATGCACTTCATACGAGCGCTACCAAGCCGCGACTATCATCCTAACACTCAGCAGCGTCGGCCCCAGCAGCAGCAGCAGCAGGAGCAGCAGCAGCAGCAACAGCAACCGCACAGCCGCACCATCACCATCACCACCAACGCCACCAACCACCGCTGCTCTCTCCACCACCAGCACCAGCACACCCCTCTCAGAGTCATATGCCCATGCAGGACAAGCATCTTTCTTCATGAGGCCAAGATCAGGCAGAGACAGAGAGAAGCCACCGAGAACATCTCCCCAACCTTGGCAGCGAGCATCCCACTCAGAGGTCTGCGTATACGTCTACATTCAAGGCGGTTCGGTCTCGCACTTCGAGGCTTGAGATCTAAGGAGGTCTTGAGGGATATACATTTGGGATGATTTTGTCCACTTACGAAATTGCTATACATCCTGAACCCTGGAAACTGCTGTTGCTTTTTCAAGCAGCCGAATCAAGCAGACAGGTCCTTCACGTATCTTACACGGATTCACGGCGTACAGACCTAGATAACAGGCAGTATGCGGCAAAAACCCAAACACAAAAAGCAAGGCGCACAAGTACACAAGTTCAAAACTTGAAGCGTAAGCCATGAATCCCACTCAAAGGTGTTGAGACAAATCCTAGCAGGATTCGTTCCACCACTCCTTCCTTGCATCAATAGCTTCAATCCCGAAACCTAGCCCCTATCAAGGCCCCGCCTCGTCCCTCTGCAGGAGTCACAAGCTGAGGGAAGTCGTTAGGGTCCTCGCGGCCTTTTCCTGGGCTTTTGGCTTTAGTTGACAAATTTCAGGCTCGAAGCCCATCCTTTCGTTGTGCGGCTGTTGAAGCTGATGGCTGGGATTCAAACTGAAACGGAGTATGCGAGGGACGGCGGATCTCAAGGTAAGAAACTTGAGCTTCAGGTCGTGGCGTTCAGGGTTGGGATCTTCGGGAACGCGAGCATGTGTCCTAGATCCCACAAACCTTTCACAGTTACTGACAACGATTATTACCTCCAATTGAGCTTGTGAGTAATTTCTCAAAACAGCCCTGGAACTATTGACTATCCCAAGGACTGAAATCCTCTGAGATCTCCCTAATACCCGAGAACCCAGCTCATAATGAAAATACAGGGTTTAGGGTTTAGCCGAGAATGGAAAAGAAAATGGACACTTTTTCGCGGACATACCCTTAACCCCATTGGGGCAAGGAGCCGTTCCGCTTCTGATTGGCCTCGCTCTGCGTCATGAACCACCTAGAGATGCCAGGCCAAACGTTTAGGGATTATTTCTTTGGGCAAGAAATGATACTTACTAAGTACAGGTGGCAGAGGTTTACGCCTGTAGCCCGGGCTAGTCAAAGAGACATACGAATTACCGCCTATTTTCTTTTATGGAAGTTGCAGATTGGATCTTGATGAGTGGCCGATCGACTTTATCTCTTTGCGACTTGTGACTCCAAGAACATCTCCATTCCGGGGGCTGATCGGAATCGAAGCACTTTGAGGCCCCCTGTCTCAAACAGATGTCATAACGTATACTGTACGTAGTTACTATTACACACAATTACCCAAATCCCAAAAACTAAATATTGGGTACTTCTACCTTTCGGGTAATCACTCACAGGCACATCTCGAACTGCACGGAGCCCACGGTCTCCTGTTGGGTGCATCATATGGTTCCTGCAAAACCTTTCCCTAAGGGTCCAAGGACACAAGTGACAAGGCTTTAGGGCCCAAATACCATGAATTTGGGCCGTAAAACCTTTTTTTTTGTGTGTCCTTGGACCCTTATAGGGTTTTCTTTAAAGGGGTGGTCTTGGGATCGTAATTCTGGCACCTACCAAACGGGCTTTGAAAAGCCCTGAACAGGTGTCAGATTTTAAGCTCCAAACCTCACCAAATCAGCTCCTGAGAGCGTATGCTGGTCTGCTAGCTGCAGGTGGGTTGCTGTTAAGGCAGTCGTAAGGAAACCGCATTATCAGCCAGCGTTTAATGCAGTCTCACTGGTGCAGTCTGGAATGTTACGCGCATGAAATTGCATGAAATGGCGCGCAGTTGCACGCAAGAGGTGTTTATGTAGCACGAAAACACACGAAATCGCAGGATGCATACCAATTGCAGTAGTCCAGACTACATCAACAATGTTCCATATTATGCACTTTATGCCCAAATTGTGGAATCTTAGCTTAAGTTCCCTGACAGCAGCTCAGCCAACTGTCTCAGGCAGAAAGCTACAGCCATTCGATGAGAAAAAACGGGGGCGGCCTCAATACCGTGACATGCTGCAATGGAGGGAACATGCTCATGGCAACAATTCAGGAGTGCCACATTGTGTAAAATGCAGCAGCCGACGCTCAAAGCCAGGGGCACCCAACTATGAATCCCCTGACTCCCTATCACATCTCTCCTTTTCCCTATCAAGCCCTCAGTCTCTGACGTACAGCTTCCCTCCTCCTCTCCACCGTCGCCGCCCTCGCCGCCCTCTTCATCTCCACCGGCGCCGGCGGTGAACTGTAGGTCAGCTTTTTCCTGGGGAAAGCAGAACTTGGGATGACTGAGGAGTCATACGCAAATTAACGAGGGCGGATGTTCAAGTGGCCAAGGATTCACTCTAAGGGTCTGTTATGTCTTGTAATTATCAAAAGTCCAGATATCCAGCCTCTAGGATTCAGCCCCAGGCAGCTATACAAACAAAGTTTTGAACTTTCCGGACACTGGAACATCTTCTCCTGAAGCATTCTGCAATCACACCCTAACCTCCCTTCCAAAAAAAACACATTTTTTGAGACCCTAGACCGCTGAGAGAGGACCGGTCGCTGATAAAACGGACTACACTTATGTGGCCATTGGTTAACTAGGAATGAAGGAATGGATCCTTATAGCAGTCTCTATATAACTCATTACAGGTAGTTTCCATTTTCTTTTCCATGCCTGCGTTCCCAGCTAACCAAAGGCCAGCTATACTAATTAATCCTTTTGGGAGCAGAGCCGGTCGGCTTCGGGAATTTGACCACTATCACCGAAGCAAGAAACTGCTGGCGTGGAGTTTGGTTTAACAACGACCTCCTGCTACCACGGGGGTGTCAAGTCTGGGATGACGGGGTTGTTCAGCTTGCCAAATAATTTCACAAGCTATAAAGAGCACCGTGCTCCTGAAAAGCAAAAGATGACCCCAACATGACATCTCAGCTTTGATTGCTGCTGTGATGACGAAGCAGTGGGACTGGATTGGGCTACGAAGGGGAGACCTTGGATATAGCTTTGCGAACCCTACACGTGGAAGCAAGTGCGCGGATTGGAAGATTCAGGCGGCGGCATAGCTGGCAAAGCCCTGGACCGCAAAGGGTGGTCTGTCCAGTCATTCAAGCTTGCATTGATTGAGCCGATCCAGTGTACGTCTTACACAAATTGAGACAGGCTTCGATGTAGATCATGTCCATATCCCGTGCGACCCTCTCCACATATCTTCGCAAATCCACGCTCACGGCTCCGATGAACTCATCTGCCGAAATGGAATTCGCCTGCGTCTTCTGGCTATTGCTAGGCTGTAGGGGATGTGTGGATTCTATGGCGCACTGAGTAACCGTAGGATGTTTGCAGGATGTCTCAGAACCAGGGATACCTTCTGTTACCGAAGAACGTCAAGGTGGATAGCACCAGGATGCCTCTCCGAATAATCATTTCCTTGCAGCAAAAAAAATCGCGGTTTAAATGGAGCATAGTGACCCCAGGAAGCAGGCCAGTCAAGGTGGGATGCTGATGCCCAGGCTCAAGAACCATGCGCACGCTATGTTTTCTGGGTTTGAGTTGCAAGCCTAATTAGCCTAAGTTCTCTGGCAGTTGAAGTTGAAGTTCATGCGGCCAGATTGACCGGGTCTCAAATGAAACTATCCGAACGGCCCTTGGTCCCCTGCATTGACAATCCAAGTTGCAGGGCTGACTGATGCCCCGAACCTAACCTCTCCCTAAACCCTAAAGCCTAGACTCTACGATCCGCGTCAATTGGTGTCTACAGAGTCGGCGTTGCAGACACAAGGACCAAATATGTTCAACTCCGTCCGCGGGAGCTACGTCGTCCACTTGCTGGCTGATAGTAGGGAGTCAAGGACTGCTTGGAGGGTCAGGAGGACTTAGTAAGTAGGTTAATAACCCCCCCATAGCCCATACAGAAGCCCTAAATATCCGAATTCTCAACCTACTTTCAGAGTCCGCAGTCTAAACACTCAACACTATAGTAGTTTCCATTTTTGTTTCCGTTTTCTTTTCCATTATTACTCAAGCCCCTGACCCTCCCAGGGCTGGTAGTGAGCGCATGGGAACCATCCTCTTCTTGGAGATTGGAGAACTACATGAGCTTGAAAGGGAGCGCTTCCTCCATTCCCTACCGACAAACCCAAAATTTGCGTAAAAGTGTTTTTATCGGGATCTATAGGAAGTATATAGAAGGTTATATAGGGATAATGGAAAAGAAAATGTAAACTACTATTTAGGGTTTATGTTTCTAGGGGGGGCGGGAGAATCCTCAATGCTAAGTACAAAGTTGAGCAAATCCAGAATTGACTTGGGACCTCTTTGTAAGTGTAAAGTCATGAAGTATGTGAACAATTCCATCCCCAGCTTGCTACAGAACCGGTACATAAACTCCAGACGTCAAAGTATCTGAACCGTACTGTAACCTATCGCCTCTGATGCATTCTTCGGTCCTCAGGCATGACAAGGCTGTAAGACCCGAACCCTGAACTCGCCCCTTGGCATGGGTTGACGGAACCTGTTCTTGTGGATTGCTGAAGAAGGGTAATGATGGTGGGGTAGCAACCGCATGTGCTCGGATCCAAGTTGTCCGTGCGCCTGATACAGCTTGAGGTCCATGGTGCAGGATTTGGTAGGCATGACGATGCGGGGGTAGACGATGCGCCAGTTGAAAATGGCCTGGCTTCTTGGACCCATTCGCTTGTTGCAGCTTTGTGCATAGGGTTGTAACGGGCTTGCGCTCAGGAATCTGTAGGCCGCTGGTCCTCAGAGAGACAGAAGAAAGAGACTACGGCAAATGCTTTGAATACATCATGTTCCCAGAATTCTTTTCGTAGTCTGGGTATCGAAGAAATGGTGTGTCGTGTATTTCTTGCACCCTAATGAGCACGCGTAGTAGTTTCCGAAACTCGTGGTCTAAAAAAAAACATGACCTGCTCTTACATACATGTAAAACTGATACGAGAAATATTAGTGAGAATAGCAATCATAGAAATAATAATGTGCCTGAAATTCCCGCGTTGTGGGATGCTCTCCAACCCACCATCTTAGGGAGCCTGGATTTTGCTGCAAGCCTTCACCTTTGGAGGGTCCCCAGTAACCCAATAATAGTGAGGGTACCCTTTTCCTACTGTTCAGCTTTCATAAGGAGACCCCAAATAAAAAGGGCAAAAGGGTACCACTGGGGTACCTAGAAAACCTTCCTGAGCCCAAGCATAGGCAGCTGAATCGATAGGGAATCCAAGGACCTCTGACGCCTGCAAAGGACCCTTACTTGGAGGGTCAGGGGGACTTAGTGGGTGGGTTTACAATGGGGATAATTGGGGTTACTATAAGGGTTATAGGGGAACCTACATACCAAGTCCCCGTGACCCTCCAAGTAGGCAATGAAAATCCTAAGCCCAAAGTACAGCCCACCTCCCCTGCTGGACCCCTAGTCCACGGACCCATTTCGGCAAGCCAGGACACATTGCCCGTGGAGCCAAAGTGAACATCCGTAGGCTGCAGCTTGGGAAAACCCATGGTCACACCCTGCACAGGTGAGCATGAGGGAGTCTAGCTGCCTAGATCACAGGGCTTCGAAGTGTCTACACATAGTTGTGGTCGCACTTTGTTGGGATCAAGTTCTGGGACCTACCCAAAATATCGTAAACTGTTCAGGACTGGCAGGCCCCATGATACCTGATTGGGGCGGCGGGCACGCGCATCAGAAGTCGTAGAGATGGCTGGTTGCATTTTAATGAATCGGGCACGAGCTTGGCTAAGCCTGTGCATCCTAAACCCCAAGCCTACACCCTTCAATCTTTGCCGTTAAGGCCTCGTACTCTTTGCACTCAAGATCCACTGTGACCTTCACGTCTGTCTTCGAACCATCCATGAGTTTCACGTTCTTGCAAGTGCGGATCACAAGGCCTCGGCAGGCGACTAACGACTGCAATAGGCTGCTGTCCTATTATATGGCCGCGGTGCTGAAAGAGATAGCTGCCACTCAATCCAATGCATTAAGTATCCAACGTGCAAACAGGAAATGTGGTAAGACTAGTGACTATCATACATCCTTGCGAGATCCATGACCCTAAACCGCTTGATGCTTCAGCCCAACGTAATTATATTAATCCGTTCTCCCTAATAGTAAACTCCAGCCAGTGTTAAACACCCAATTCAGGGGCCTCAAAATCCGGAAGAGCACTTTTAAAAAGGCAAGACTAAAAGGGGCCGCCTAATAATGAATTGGGGGTGGGCAAGGGTTCTGGAATTATCAATTCATTATTCATTGGATTCTCAACTGACCTAAGGTTCAATTATCAAGTAATTAAAGTGCTCCATGAACTGATTTGATTCATTAGTTATTGATTTTCCATGGAATGTAAAAGGACTTTAGAGGCAGCCGTAGCTAATTCTTTCAATAAATAACCTCCCTAATGTGAACCAGATTCTACCGCCCCGGATTATCTAATATTACGGGGGGGGAGGGGGGGGACATCGTTTAACATTGGGGGGAAGGGATTATACAAAGCCTCCGGCAAAACACTCCCGATATCAGACCTCTGTCGGCAGTCTGACCACGAATCATCTGCAACAAAGGCATTCTCACAAGAAGACCGCAAGCGTTAACGCTGAGTGGGGGAGATGGGTCGGGCTTTCAGGCAACAATGCTGCATGTGCTGACAGCTACTTCAAATTTGCAACAAGATACGGATCTCGATCTCCATGGCAGGAGGTTTGCGAAGCTCGGAGGCCTCCAACACAAGTACTGATTACGGTTCAGCTCCCTGACTCCTGATAGTGGTGGTGGGTCCATGTAGAGACAAAGGTACTGTTTGTTGTGAACGGCTGTTGATGCTCCAAGAAGATCTGACCTTACGCCTTCGCAGTGGTAGAAACAACCCCCGCGCACATTGCACCTTGATATCCGATGCTCGGACGCTGTCAATCATCTCCACCCACATCTCGATGCCTCGGAGGGGCACAGGAACTAAGCAGGTGTGTGTCAAAGCAATGGATACCACCTGGATGAACCATTTATTCATTGACAAGTCGTGGTGGTGGCGGCTGCCGTGGTGGTTGCAGGGGTGGTGGGCTGGCAGCAGCGGCGGCAACGACGAGGACGGCTGTTGCTGCTGCCGGCGTGACTACTTTGCATCGATGCGCAGCTTGCGCAACTCACATCTCCCCCGCTCGAATGCGCCAAGGGGCTGCCACAGTTCTGACCAGAGAGCTGCGGGTTGATGAGCCTTGGCTTGTAGCACAACTACAACCCATGGAATGTCAATCACATGTTTTCTCTACAAACTAATGTTCCAGTGCTGCAGCTCAGAATGGTGATGCTCTGTTAGGGATAAACCAAAGGCTGATACAAAAGGATACTGGCAGGGCTTCTGAACACCTACTAGCTTTTTTGGCGGGAAGTGCCCAAGTTTACCGTGATTGGGAAGACTTTTGAAGGTCGGGGTCGATAGACATTGCTCCCTTTGAAGAAGCCCTAGCTTGCAGGCTTTGTTGCGTCAATCTTCTTTAATGCTCAGGAAAATCCTCCACCAAAGACCAAAAACCAAACTCTAAAGTAAAAGCATCAAAAGTACCGAAAAAAAATACCCGCATCTGCTCACACCATTGTTCATCACCCATGTAGGAGCTATGGAAGCTAGTAAATCAAGAATCAAAACACAACATACGAACTCTCATCAAATCCGTGCCCCAGTTGCCCGCGATTCTCGGTAGGCACCTGCTGCCGGCGATCCTGATTGTCTCCAAACTCAAAGGAGAACACCCACCGAAGAACGGCAAACTGCAGCAGGACACCCAAGAAGGGACTGTACTTTTCCCCCTTTTCTACACCCACTCAGTCATAGCACGAATGCTGGTAATAGTAGCGGTAGCAGTAATAGTATTTATGCATTGGGTGCATCTCAGCGGCCTGCTCATTTTCCAGACTGCCATGCAAGACTGTGGCCGACAGAAACAACGAGACTTATAAATGCTCCCGCCTGTTCCGTGAACACTTGAAGCAGCGAATGGCGGCTTCAGATTCTAGGTTCCCCAATAACCCCATTAATAATAAAGGTACTTTTTTTTTTTGTTCCGAATGGTCAGGTTTACCAAGGAGACACCAAATTAAAAGGGAAAACGGGTACCACTGGGGTACCTCGGTTTCTAGACGAAAGCCAAGGCTGATGTTGTGCGAGGCCTACAGACGGATTGTGTTCAGGTCCCCCTTGTGACTCGAGTGCTTGTGCCGACGATGATGATGGTGGCAATGCTCATTCTCTCAGCCAGTCCACGAGCAGGAATCTATCTTTGTGCGTGTTGCACTTATCCCATACCTGCGCTACTTCACCGCGCTAGCGGGCCGAGTGTGCGACGAAAGCCTCCTGGCGTTTACCAACCCAACTTCTTGACGAGCCTGCAGAATGCCAAGACTGAGCCTTCAAATGTTTATTGAAAAGTGAATACACTAGGTTCAAAACATTTTAACTGGAGGGTTCGGATTTGGTGTAGTGGACTTTAAGCCCCAGTGGGAAGAGGAGAAGGGCCCAACTGCATATCAGCATAAACAACAATCATAAACATCCTGCGGCTCCAAATCGCGGAGTAACGAGAGAGACTCTGAGAAGAGCCAACTATTTTTTTGCAGAACCTCATCCTCCAACTACGCAGAACCGTCATCATCCGCAGCGAATACATAAGAAGAAACTCCCAAAGATGGAGTGCAAAAAAGGCAGAACAAGGAAACATATGGGGGTTGTCCAATATTCTTTTTCCCACAAGCAGCCCTTTCGCCGCCCTTTCGCGNNCGGGCTTTCGCCCGCAGCATTTTCTTAAGATGTACAGCAAACGTAACTCCTGCTTACAAGTCCTGTATTTGATCGACTTGTTGAAGGCTCGGAAGTTCTGTTGGGGTCATAAAAAATAAAGACGCATTTAGCAACCCACTCCGCAAATTTACAACCTACGCTTCAAACTTAGTGATGTTCTCGCCCTGCGTGCGGTGGCTGAACTGGTTACTGGTTTGCAGGGCAGTTCCCATTCCTTGAAAGAGGAAACCGGGCTTTTCACAGAAGCCCAAGTGGCCGACTACCTTCTTGGGCCATGGGCGCCTTTCGCGTTCCTTTCGCATGCCTTTCGTGCAAAATCCGTTCTGCAACATCTGCCCCGGAAGCGGTTTGATAGACAGTGATGGACAGTGATTGATACTGATGATGAGAGCAATAGCGCTGGCAGCACTTCTGTTCTGAGAGTTGCTG